GGCCGCCCCGCCAGACGGTGCGCCTGGAGCTGGTGCTCAAGGACCCCACGGACGAGAGCTGCGTGGAGTTCAGCTACCCGGAGCTGCTGCTGTGCGGAGAACAACGGGTACACCGACCTGGGGCGCCCCGAGACGGGGGGGGCCGCCCTGGCGCCGCTCCGCGGGAACCGCACACCCGGCCGGGTCTCCCCGCTCTGCGCGGGGGCTCCCCGCCAGTTGTGTGGCCGAGCTTTCCCGGTGGAGCGGCCGCCGTCCGTCGAGTGGGAGGAAGGGAAAGCCTCGGGGGACACGCCCCCCGACCCGGGGCAGAGGGATGAGGGGCCCCCTCGGCTGGCACCCGGCTCCTGCTTCGCGTTGGGGCGCACGGGGCCGGGGCTGTGGCCTGTGTGCGTGCGCTTGGGGCGCTTCTCGCCTGCCAAGGGGATTTAAAAGTCACCCAGAGACTCGGACCCGAGGAATTCCACGTTGGGAATGGTGGGGAAGCGTGGCCGTGTGGATGCAGGAGTTCCTCCCGCCGGTCGCCGCCGGGAGCCCTGGCGAGCTTTGTTTTTCCGTGGAGTTGCCTCACGTGGTCAGCGAGTGGAAGGTGTCGCCGCCCGTTCCGTGCGCGCCCTCGTTGGCGGTCGGTCCTGGGTTTATCGGCTCAGGTTGCAGCCCTCGCGACAGGGCCGTTGTCATGGGGGGGCGGCGATGACAAAGCCCTCCGCGTTGGCGATTCGCGAACTTCATTGGGAATGCCCAGGCTCAGACTGGCCTTTGCGGGGACCGAGCGAGGGCGTTCAGAGGGGCTTGTTGGCTTAGGTGCTTTCCATGGTTGGGGGTTGGGGGGGTGACCTTTCGAGGTGAGGAAGGGAAATGACGGCGTAACTGTATAAAAGGGCAGCGTTGATATGTGGCCCTGGTGACATAGTGGGCTAAGCATCGGGCTGTTAACCACAAGGTCTGCAGTTCGAAAGCACCAGCCTCCCCGGCTGGAGGCAGAGGAGAGGCTTTCCCCTCCTGGGGAGATTTAGTCTTGAAAGCCCCCAGGGGCAGTTCTACCTGCCCCATGCACTCGCTGTGCGTCAGATCACCGTGAGTTTGGTGTGAACCACAGGTTTAACGTACCAGTCGACTGGTTCCCTAGTCATCCTTGGCTGTTACAGGATTAAGCAACGTCACCAGGTTTTGTCCATTGGCCGCTGTTGGCGGTAATTGTTGTGAAATGTTTTCAGCCAAAATGAACGGAGGTTGGAGATCATTTTGGTTGACCCCACCTGTGCCTGCTTGCGTAGCTTTCCGTGATGGTGGCCCCATTCTTTAGGAAATGTGTTGGTCTTTTCTTTTTAATCACATCATTTTGAGAATGATTGGATTGGAGCGTTCATTGAACTGACTTGTAATCTAACTCCTAATGTACCGTATATACTCATGTGTACGCCAAGTTTTTTCAGCACATTTTAAATGCAGTTTTTGTGGTAAAATTAGGCGCTTCAGCGGATATTCAGGTCGGCTCATACTCGAGTATATACGGTAAGTTAGTTTGTAGTTTTAGTCCCTTAAAGAAACATCATATTTGGGCAAAAAACCACCTGGTCATCGTAATGCCTGGCATTGGCTTGTGGAGTTAGTCCAGCAGGACTGCCTGAGGCAAGAACCCTCTTGCCCGGTTTACAGCTATGACTACCGCACTGAATGGGGACAGGTAATTCTATTAAGAGCCTTGCCCTTGGTATGAACCAATCGTTGGTAGTACAGAGAAACAACTCATCCTTTAAACCTAGAGGGTCCTGCAGAAATGAAGTAAAATTAATGCCACTGCAGAAATCCAAAGGCCACAACTGTGAAACTGTGACTCTCTTCTTGCTGTAGTACTTACACAACAATACACTGCCGTTCAGTTGGTTCCAACTCTCAGGACATACTAGAGCTGCCCCTC